AGCTTAATTTCTCCACGGAGCATCTTAAAACAAAACGCGAGATCACTGAAAATACGCCGATCAAGAAGCGTCTTGAGATTCTGGCAACGTAAGCGCTTCTTATAGTCTGGCATATTTCTAGAATATGTTCGGTTCCGAACACATCTACACAGTACTACTTTCGTGGAGGTCTGCTGAACTTTTTCAATTTTTGCTTGAAGTTTCCTTGTATGCGGGATCCAAATCGGCGACCCATATTCTAGTATAGGAACGGCATATGCTTGATAGAGTCTCACAAATGTTTTTGGTTCATTGGACCTAATATTTCTAAAAATTGCAAAAAGAGCGCTAAGTGCTTTCCGAACAGTAGTGCTTACCCGGCATTTAAAATCCAGTTTTGTATTCACGCAGAATCCAAGACCGCTCACTTCATCCAATGTCATCCAATGTTTTCAATGTAATGTCCTGGGAGACATACGGGACTTTCACGGCTTTTCCAATATGAAGCACCGAGGTCTTATTAAGATCAAGGGGTATGTCCCAAGCTGCAGCCCACTCCATCATCTTGTCAAAGGAACGAGTTAGAGCTTGATGCACACTTTCTTGAGTTTCATCTGGGTAGATTCCATACATCTTTATATCGTCAACGTACATGTAAACTTTTATGGCGGGATGTACTGCCAGACGAGTCGGTAGGATATGAGTATAGACCAAAAATAATAAGGGAGACAGAATTATTCCTCGTAGTACGCCACTTGTACATTTATAACTCTTCGAAAACGAATTACGAACCCTTACGCACATATGCCTTTCGCTAAGGTAAAAACTGATCCAGTTAAGGACGGGCCCGCAGACACCAAGGTAGCGTAGTTTTGAGAGAAGCTTTTCGTGATTCGCTTTGTCAAAGGCTTTCGATAAATCAAAGTAAATTATGTCTACACCATTACCTTTGCTTACAGCCATACTCCAGTCGGAAACACAGGCTGCCATCTGGGTACAAGTAGACGCCATCATGACAAAACCATGTTGTTCCATTGAGATCAGCTTGTTTTTTTTGGAAGTATTGAGAAAGTTGTCACGTATAGGCTTCTCCAAACACTTAGCTGCAGAAGAAGTTATAACCAAAAAAT